GAGGAGATTCTGACTCATGTGAGGTGTTGCGCTGGAGAAAGTCGTGAGGGCTTTACGTGATACAAAGAACATGGTGAGCCTTTCACATTTCCACACTTCATATTTTCAGAGTCTTTCATCTTTAGCCAAAGCCTGAAAGTTCTGCTCACATCTCTCTTAAAAATCCTGGGAGGAGAGGTGGGCACCATTCCAGCATCCCTTCTAATCATACCTCAGTATAATCTCTAGTAACATCAAAGCTGCCAGAGGATGATGATAGAAAAAAGTCAGCTAAAGTTCAGTCTCTCAATAGACTGTGTTTGCTTTTAGATTTGTGTGTGAGGAATAAGGGGAGCGGAGTCAAACTACTTACTTAGAAAAATTAGCTTTTCCTGAAATTAGATCCTTGAGTCCATGTGTGTCTGGATAATGAACTTTTCCATAACTATTTGCCTCCATTAAGGTGAGGGGAAATAGTTCATGTAGGAGTTCAAGCCAGCAATTTTTACCTTTGAAAAAGTCAGACACCTGAGCAATGCCTGGCTTTCTATGTAGTTCAGTTTTAGACAAATTAGATTTACAGTTGATAAATTACTTGAATTGCAGTCCTACTTATATATCTTCCCTGCTTCTGTCTGGAGCCAAGTACAGAGTGCATGTATTTAACTGATTTGCAGAACTAGAAAGTACTGGAATAACTGATGCGGGCTGTCATCTGCACGAGGACTTTGAAAAACAGTCACAAATGACTTACTATGTCCAGTTAGGGCAGATGGGAGAGTACATGAAAACAGTAAGCATTAATATAAGTCCCTTCCAAGAAACAGCCACTGAGTGCTGAAACCCCACATTTTTAATATTCATTTTAACTCCTGATGAATTAATTAAACAAAGATTTATTTGGCACTTGTTAATAGAATTAACAAGTGATAACAGAGTTATCACAGAGTTATGACTTCTAACTCTTCACCTTCTGTAAAAATATTTTCTGCTGTTTGCTTCTTGGGTTTCTGCTGCTTTCTTGGAAGGAACATGCCTATTTATACATCACCAATGAATGCCTTGTAGTTCTTAATCCAACAAACAGCTCTGTAGCCTGGACTTTTTTCTTGTCTGCTCTCTCTGTCTTACTATGTCAGATGATCTTCCTCCCCTGAGGAATCCTGACCAACATCACAATTAGTGTTCCAGGGCATCTAGTAGTAAACAAATATTACTTAACACAGAAAAGTGCTAAGGTTCATGAAACAGATATGTGAAGTGTCTTAACGGTTGTGTTTTTTTCCTGCTGGGATTCTTGCCAAATTCTGATCTGCCTGATGACAGCTGATCTTTGGAGGACTGTTGCCCTTTTCTGTGTACAAATTTGAGACAGTGGAAAATGTCAGGAAAAGATCTGAATAGGAATTAGTCTGAATACACCAAGAGAGGCATATTTTGACCTTTATAACTCCATTATATTTATAAACCCTACTTCAGAAATTGTCAGAAAGATACAGTTTTCCACTAAAGTAATTTTATTAATAGAGTTCCTGGACTAATTTATTAAAATCTTGTATCTGGACACCTTCACCAGCTTTTTGTTTCCCTCCTGAATGTAGTATCTGTGACTGAGAGAAAAGACTGAGAAAATTTACTGTTTTGTACCCATGCCCCAGTTATGTAGGAACAAACCAGTCTTAATCATAAAGAGCTGAACACAGTACATTTTCTTTTCTCCCTAATTGCTTTTTAAGGCAACTTCTTTTTCTTCTAATTCTAACCAAGACTTTGTGACTTGGTTTGCCTAAAAGTCCAGTAATGACCTGTTTATCTCAGTTAGCTATAGCTGTGGTGGATTAAGACTTAAAGAGATTTTAACTTCAGATGAAACAAAGTCTTGGAACTTTAAATAACCAAATAGGTTTATACTTTGCCTAAAACATGTGTGATTTTATGGACTATAAATTCATAAACTGCTATAATTATAAGTTAATTATAAATTGCTATAATTTCAATTCGGTGTGGGAGGTTTCGTTTCAAAGCATAGATTTAGGAAATCCAAAGTGCTACACAATACAAAAGAGAATCCTTGCAATCTCAGAAGTCATTTATTGCTATCTCCATTAGTTCTGGGCTGTATGTTTTTAAGTCAGGGTGACCTGAGTTTCTTCAGCTGAAGATTTCATAACCTTCAAGCTTCCTGTGACAAGATACATATTCATGAGCCATCTTGTAAAACTTCCAAACCAAGAATACAAGGAAATCTAATATAAAATATTGATTTAGAAACATGAGAGCGTGAAATGAGGCCTTTCAGATCAAGCCAGAAACAGGCAATGCCAACCCTCTAAACCTGCTAGCTCTGCACAACATAGTAACAAAAAATGATGTAGTACAAGGTGAGGTTCAAGTGCTTAAGGTAAGGCTTTTCAGTGCTAGTAAGCCTTTGATTTGCAACAATGTTTTGATACTGGAAGTTTTTGGATAACTCTCTCTAAAGAGAGAACTGACTGCTACAGATATCTGGAACAGGACATGGGTTGTTTGTGATATCCCTTCATTCAACAGAATAAAAGAAATATCAGTGCTTATAAATGTTACTCTGTTGGATGTACAGGATTGAGGACATGAATATTTTCTTGGAAATGCCATGATAAAATGAAGCATGAATTCTGTATTTACTTTTGTGTGAATGATTTACCATCATTCAATCACTAATCTGTTAGAGAGTAACACAGAACTTTATGTGAATTTGTTGGTACTCGAGATAGGTATTCCCTAACCCTTTTTGAATGTGCTGTTGATTTTCATTTACAGCAGGCTTTTTGTCAAAATAGAAACTTCCAATAAGGTACTACCAGGTTTTTGCAAAGCTGAGCTATTCTGGAAAATATTCATATATGTAGGAATTTTCTCTATAAACCAAATTGTAATTCTTTTATAGCACTCTGCTCTCTAAGTCTAAATCATACTATTACACACCCCTAGCTCAGTTATTGGATAAGGCAGGCACTCTTCTACCTAACATTTGGACCAACGAATGATCAAAGCCAAATATTAAAGCCAAGTGTGAATCCAGTTTTACTGCATAGGTATGTTGCAAAATGTAAAAAGTGCATCTGGTATCTTGGGTGGTGACATAAATTGAAAAGGCAGCTATTATTATTTCTAGGACAATGCTCTGGTTTCTAGTGTCTGGTGGTCAACAGTTGATATCTTCTGAATTTCATTTAGATTTCTATTTTTAAATATTGTTTTTGAAATGTATCCCAAAAGAGGTACATTTGGACAATACAAACTTGGTTTGTGGATACAGTGACTTATGCGAGATACTGCAATGAAATGTAATAGTCAGGAAGCTTCCACGTGTGTGATTCTGAGATCATTATCAAATACAACATGCAGCTTACTTCTAGATAGAAGATGATAACTGTACTTTGTGGCAACCTTTAAGTTCAATGCTCATTTTTGTTCTTCACTGAAATAGAAAAAAAAAAATACAAAAATATTTTTACAGTAATGACTTGCCTAAAAAATGTCAATTTTCAGACCAAAACTTGAGCTTTTTGCCTTGGAAATATGTGGGACAGAGATTTGGGAGTGAGGACTCTGGTTTAGGACATGGGGATGCAGAATAAAGACCTAATTAAGGCCCGGTTCAGAGCAGACTTTTTCATCCAGGATACTGAATGAGGAAGAGTATGGATTTGTTCCTGGGTCTCTCCTCATTCCAGGCTGGTTCTGTAGATACGAATGTGTAAAATTGTAGCTCTCTCTAGGTGAGAATTTTGATGATCTGTTTTAGTCTGCATGATGGAACATTTTTTGTCTCGATAAAACATTCTGATTAGTATTATACATAACTTTTCTTTTGGTCTTTAAAATAGGAAGCATGGCCAGTCCAGCCTGGCATTCATTCATATTCCTTGGAAGTACAGAAGTGAGGTTGCTTCTTAATTTCTTTCAACCTTAGTAGACAAGTTTTGGCTTTGATGAACTGAAGCAAAAATGTCTAGCAAGCTCCATTTCATTTTTTATTAGATTATTTTTGACTGATGGCACTTGCAGTTCTCTGTAGAGGAATTAGCAATTTACATTAAGGCTCTTAGTAAAGTAGGTGCATCTAAAGACCAGTTGGAAGGTAGTGCAAAACATAAGTGTATAGAAGTGACTTAATAGCCCCTTGTTAATTTTCAAAGCGTTTTGCTTATAGGAGCAATTCAAGATGATGATTTTAATTCACAGATCTCTAGTATCAGGTGCCTGAGACAATATCCTGTTCCCTTGAGAATCAATACACAGCTTAAGTCCATGATTCCTTAATTATGGTTGATATACTTGAGGGTGTCAGGATGACTCCTGATCTGAGAATTTATTTTCCAGCTTCTGTTAAAAACCAAAAATTTGTCAATTAGTTCCAAGTCCAGCTCTCCTAATGTGTGTCGCCTGAGCAGATTACTGTTACAGGCCTTTATTTTCTATTTTGTATTTATTTTTAATTAATATGCATGTGTACATTTTACATATATAGTTAGCATACAAGCAATCTGAAAAACTATATGCAAAGCTATCTTAAATTCTTATAACTTTGCAATTAATATTTGAATGCTATACAATGTCTTTCAACTGGAAATTTAAAGCACTTAGAAAGAAAAGTTCTTCAAGTGCCAGTCTGGAAGAAAATTTTTAAAGTAATTTCCTAGACAGTTATATTCATATAAAACAAAATTTAACTATTTTAGTAGTATAACATTGGAAAACAGTAATATAGATTAGAAATAAAGCCTGTGGTCCTACGTATACAAAAAGCTTTGCTGTTATCAGTAGATAAGGTATTTTCTTTTGATAATAGGTACTGAATTTGACACAATTTATTTCAATCATGAAAGCCAAAAGAAACCAGTTATATCCAGATAAGATTTGGTGAGGATGGTGTTCAGATAGCCTGTAGTTTGTCATAGAAAAGCTATTTCTCCAAATGTTTGTGCATTTTTGCTAAGGTACTCTTTGTTATCATTTTTATTTTTTTAACAGGCATGCAGCAAATTTGCTGACATTTGGTAACACAAACTCCAGTTTTCTCCTGAGCTAGCAACTTTTTCTGCAGGTAAATGACTCTTAATGTCTGGGAAATTTATTAGAATGAATGTCATTTTTTGCTAAAGGAACAAAAATATTTTTTCAAAAAAATTCCAAATATTCTAGTAGTCCCCTTTGCCAACCAGATGCTCATGACACGAACAGTTTCTATTACTGTGAAGAACTCACAGCAGCCAATGGCACTCAGTAAATAATACTGAGAGGATTATTTATAATGGTCTTGAGCAGAATGTGAAGATGTTACAAAATAATTTTACAGGTCCACTAAGCACTTCCTCAATCCACCTGCTTTCAAAGAGGCAATTCTAAAGATTTGAAGAGCACATCTATTTTAAAGTATTTCTGTTGAATTAGCATGTGTGGTAATTGCAAGCTATCCACAAACAGTACTTGCAGAGATCACTTGGAGTTATTTAGAAATTTAGCATGCTGTGTTTGACAATTTCAGGTTCTAAAAAAAAAACATTATTCCTAATATCAGTTGATTCCCACTTGTGGGCTGGCAACTTGATAAAGAAGGTCTCTCTGCCTATAAGAAAACCATTTTTCCATAAGAGCATGTTCTACATTGCTAATTAATTTGTCTAACTGAGTTTCATTTCCGCCCACTCTCTTCTATCAGATATTTGACACACAAAAAGATAAGAGAAATACTCAGTGGTACATGTATTTCTTTGCTTCTATTGCCTATCTATGCACAGAATTCTTGTAATATGAAGGAAGACAGCTCAATGAGGAAGCATGTAGTGAAAAGTGGCCCTACATTTTCAGAACATAGATTTTAACTTAGGCAGAAAAAGAAACAGTCAAAAGGCAGCAAAAGACTGATGATGCAGTCTTTTGCATAGAAAGAAACGTAAAAGATTAGAGTTTTTTAAGGATAGATGAAGAAGGGGGGGGTAAAATTTGAAATGAGAAATGCAGAATAAATCCGTTGAGCTCTCCTAATTGCAAATTATTTTAATAAAAGAACAAAACCAGATTCAGTTAAAGTAAAAGTTAACTAATTTGAAAATGAAAAAATAGGCACTGGAAGCATCTGAAACTTACTGCCAAAGAATATCATGGCCACCAAGAGATTAATATGACATTTACAAAACTAACAAGAATATATAGTTTAACAGAAAATAGGGGACAATACAAGAAACAAAAGTACTGAGGTCATACAGCTATTTAATGCTTGGGACTAGAAAGAAGGGCCTTTTTGGGCATATTAAATATTTTCTGTTCATTTATTAGAATATTTTAAAACTTTTACTGAAAATTTTAGGGTTTCGTCCTTTCCCAGCCATTGTTAGAGAGAAGGCACTGGACTACATGTTACTTGTCTGACACCATGTGGCATTTCATATATTGTTATATTTGCATTGTACTAAATTGGCTGCATATCTTAAGAAATTATGCTGCAGGATGGCTTGAAATTGTCTTTACAATCTATTTATAGGTTTTTTTTGACTTTGTGAAGATGGTATAACCTTGAGAAGAGAAGGTTCTCAAGAGAAAGCAGAGTTTCTGCACTGTTGCAAGCTTGGATTACTCTTAAGTGATCCTGGGTTGGATGTGGAGGGAGCCTGTGGTAATTAGTAGCTTATAGTGGTTTCTCAAAGTGGGGGATGCAAGGACATGAATCAAATCTAAACAGTCAGGTTTAGTTCCAGTTTTTATAAAACACTGAATTGCTATGGCTTTCTGTACACCTTCTAAACAAACTTAAATCTCAGTAGTCATGACTGTAGCGTACAGCTAATGTTCTAAGTATTCAGGGTTTGGCTGTGTCACAGTTTGAAATAGATTTTTGTGAAATAAGGCAATTTAGTACTTTCCTTCTGCAAACAGCTCTTGCATGTAATTGACCACAAGGAAGCCAAGGGCTTACAGCACTCCTCTATGGAAACATTCCTTTACATTTCAAGGGTACAAAACAGACAAAGGCAATTTCCATTGCTGAAAGTCAATGCACTGGTTAGAAAAGCAAATTTGTAGACTGTCACTGAGGAACGCTGGAACCCAGTTTATCTGTTTTATGTGCCTATTTTCAATAAGGTTTAGTGTGCGTTCATCAATGTTTGTGTTTGGTCACATATAGTAAATAATGTTAATACACTTGGATATGACCAGGTTTATCTTATTTTGTGTTTTCTGGATAGTCTGAACTGAAATCCCGTGGTGTTTCCAGTAAACATTAACCAATACTGGAGTCACTGGTATTCACAATGGCATGTGCAAGGAAGGTTTATTTCAGATCTGACAAACAGCTTTCTGAATTCAAAAATTAAGTGAAAAATTAAGAGCAATGGATATTATTTTGCAAATTATACAGTCTGGATTAGGAAAGAGCAAACTTCCAGAGCTACCTGTTATACGTAGTATAGTTCCATTTCTTTTCTTGTCTTAGGGACTTTACTGAGCTGCCACTGGACTTAGCTGCTGGAGATCTGAAAGTGCACTGGCTTGAGGTTAGTACTCATTTGATATGTAAAGGGTGATTTGGAATATCAGTTGCTCTATCTGTATTTCCTATCCGTCTAGGATAGTCAAACGAATATCAATTTATCTTGTATTATTTTTCAAATCATGTATCTTAAAGATTTTTTTCATTGTTCTGCAGTTTTGCATCTTCCTGTTGGTTGAGTTTTTCCTGATACTTCACCACATAGAATAATACTCTGACAGGGGACTTGGAATAACTTTTCTTCCTCACACATTTTTAGGGTCATCCTGTAACACAAATGTCATGCTGTCATCATCCAGATGTTTGACCCTTAGCCCCCAAGGGGCTTTTTCTTTGAAAAGCATAACACATTTCTGTAATACTTTATCACAGAAGGTAGAAAAATCGTGTGTTTTGATTGCAGAAAACCAGTAGCAGAATGTGATCATGGTCTCCAGGCAGCTTTGGAAAGAAGCAGGACAATTGGACTGAGGATAAGCAAGCAAAATATAAATTGTGTGCTATATTAATAACTAAAGAGGAAAAAATACTATACCAGTAAGGTGTACCTCCTGCTTGTCCCAAAAGACCAGGAAGTGGTGCCGTTACTTCAGTTCTGTAGAGTAACAAATGATGATAGGAAATCTGTTTGACCAAGGAGCTCAGTTTCATGTACTTATTATACTTGTTCATGTCTAGTACCACAAGGTGGTACTGTACAAAGAGGTGCAATGGATGTGGAGTACAAAGCTTAAGAGGGAGTTTGAGAAATTGAACAAACTGATTTTGACAACTTTAAGTGCAAAATGAAGCACAGGTAAGAGGTAACAGGTAAGCCTTGCAGCAGCATAACATCTCAGAAACTACTGAAATCTCATTAATAGGCTTTGTATATTTATTTGAAACTCTGTACTGTGTTAGTTTACTCTTATTATGGTTGTTTTTAGCTAAGGGAGATGAAGAGAACTGTGCTTTCAAGAGGTAATTGGAAATGACTGTTGTGTTGTGCGGAGACCCTGATTAACACTGTGGGGACCACTTAGATCCCAGACACTGAATGGAGCCGAATTCTGGCGGATTCTTTGGCTAATAGCTTATTCTGCAAACATGTTGTGGCTAGCAATTTATTCTGTGTGCAAGAGGGAATAGTTGCATTTTGATTGTCCCCTCTACTTACAGATTTCAGAAGGAAATGAAAGAAAGTTCTAGGCTTTGTATTCCTAGTGTTCGTTTTACATGAGGTCAGACAAGTGCTAAATCTAAATTTATATGTTAAAAAACTTATGATAAAATGTGAACAAATGCAATTAAAAAGCACTGTATCTGATTCTATTCTTGTTTGTTTCTGATTTAACATTTGGACCAAACTTTACTTGGTAATACCAGCATAAATCTGAAATAATACAAATCACTGTCTTTTTAGACAGTTTGCTTTCTCATTTAATTCTTTTATCCTTTTCCTCCAGCCTTTAGTTTTAGCTAATGACTAGTAAATTGCAGATAACCTGTCAATATGAAGTTTAGTTGATCCTTTTCCCCCCAGGCCCACTATGATTTAATGAATCCAGAAACAAGACAATGTCATTACATTCCAGAAAACTGGAATATTTTCCAGCTGTTTTCAAATCAGAGAACAAACATCTACATCTGAAAAAAGTTTACCTAGTCATTTTGTTTCCTAAATAAAACGCTGTCGAGCATACTGTTACTTTGCAAAAATCCTATTGACTTCAAAGGGAGCTAAATTATAGCCCTTCAGGCAAACCTGCACCAAAGCTGTGAGTGAAGAGACAAAGATCTAGAAGGGAAGCTTCTATATGTAAGGCTGACGTCCCTAAATATCTTTCATTATACTTTGGCTATCTAAGGAATGGCAGAAGATTCACATATTTTAAAAGAGAAGCAAGACTAAGACAGATCTGTGCTCAGACAAAATCAAAGCCACATTTTATTCTATGCAGAAGAAGAAAGCAAATTATATTGTTAGTAATTCCTGATTGATTTAGGGTTTTAATAGAAAGCATAGTGTGGCTAGGAAGGAGGACATTCCAATGGGCTTATGCTCACCCACAGGCTATGGAAGTTGATAAGCTCACATAATAGCTGTTTCTTTTTTTTTTTTTACTGCAGTTATTAAGGGAAGGCTTTATCGAGAAAACTATAAATGAAAGCTTAATGTTGAGATTAGCTCAGATCCCAAATGCTTTGAAACTGCAGTGAATTAAGCTATATTTTATTCTTTGATTTATTGTTTTATGTTCTGTTCTAATAATATGTGGCTGTTTCCTCGTAAAGTCTTGTATTAGAAGCCAGACCTATTTTCTAATTGCAGTTAATGTCTAAAATACTTTTTTCCTACCTATTTCTGCTGAAATCCTCTATGGAATTTTCAGTGTGAGTCTGGGAAGTTTTAATTTTTGTTTACTTACTGGAAGTAGCAGATCTTGCTGGGTTTTTGAATAGAGGCCTGACTGTGTGTGTAGAGACCTTGGTTGTGTGTATAGAGACCTGCTTTCGAAGAAGGGCAGGAAATATGGAGTTCATGTGTCTGCTCTTCAGAGCTTTGGATGAAGGAATGGATGGCAATTGTTTAGTATAGCAACATAGAAAGTATGCAATTTCCTTTATATGAAAATCCAGCAATGGTTGGAGCTTCATGGCATCCCTTTTTCTCTTTCTCCTGCTAAACACACTGATAAGAATTGATCAGCCTTTCACATTTTGAAACTTTCTCTTTTTAATACAGCCATGATGATAATGTTTTCTATCTGTGAATGACAGGTAATGTTAGCAACTACTGGGAAAGTAAAAAAATGTCAAAAATAGAATGAATAACGTGAAAGGATACTTGCTTTGAGAAACTAATTATGCCAGTTTACAACTTCATTCACCACTGTAGGATGCTCTATATAGTGGCCTCTAAGCCACTATACTGAAATAACATCAAGAGGTACCTGACCTTGCAATAAAGACTGGTCAAAGTGTTAGTCAATGACTAGAGTAATTAATGTCTGGTAGTAGAAGTAAAATTACACATGGAAGGGTCTAGAGTGTTTTTTGTTGCATAAAGATGATTGAAGTGCTATTGTTCAATATTATTCTTTGACCTCTTATGTTGCAACAAACTACAAAATAAAGTAACATTATAGGGTTTATTACAAATCCAAACAGGTTAAAGTTAGAGGTAAAGCTCCATCCTTAACAGACTTTGCTCTTCCTAGCTGGAGTTTTTATATCCTCAGATGTTTCTGTTCTCCAAATATTTGCAGTAAAAATGTGAAGATCAAATCAGCATTCATAGGACACATAAACAAACTATTTTCTATAACATAATGTCTGTGCCACTGTACATATTGGATTTTAATGCCTTTTATTGCTGTTACTTTAAGAAACTGTAAAAAATAATTGACTCACACAAAATAATGTACAGAGTGAGGACATTTGGTTCCAAATAAAGAGTTTGTAGAAATCTGTTTCTATACTGTTTGATACAGACTAGGATTGTTTAGAGTCTTTAAAGAGTAGGAAGTGTATCACAATATGGGATTTATTTTGAACACAGAATGGCATCACATACCTAAATATAATTTGCTTGCCTTTTGGATTTGTAGCGTGCCCTTATTATTACTATCATCTGTGTTCTGAAGCTAATGGTCATCAAATCATTCAGTGCATGATTAAGAAAACAAATTTTTTTTTCTGAGATTGGTACCTTGCTAAGATTCATACTTTGCTATTCCTTTTTGGTAGGGTGTGTGTAGTATTTTATGATTCCCTATGAATATTCTTCATATGGAACAAAAATAAAGTACAAAATAGGATTTCCTCAATGAGCTGTCAAAATTCTCTTTTCTACTGAGCTTGTATGGGCATCAAGTCCAACACAGATAATATGAAACACAGTAATGACAATTTATACTTCTAGCACAGGGTGTGGATAAGATTTTGGAATTCGAGCTTAGGCAGATATCCACAGAGTCAAGTCAGTCCTTCCAGGTTCTGGTTTAATATAAAAGTATTGTTCCAAAACTACTGTATTTTTATCCTATCAAGAGTGGCTAGTCTTGGGGTTTATCCGATAAGAAACATTGGTGGACATTAGCGGTCTTCTGAGCCAGAAGACAAATGCAACCTTCTTTTGTTAATAATACATTATAATGAACCATATCATTCTTCAGAAAATAACAGTATTTCACTATATCATCTACTAACAGCGTAGAATAATTAAAACTTCAGAATTAAATAACCGAAGAGAGATTCATACTAGATTATGAGGATTTTTCACACTTCAGCAAGAGACAATTTAACAGCCGTCTTCTCCATTGCAGTCCCTTAAAAATCATTTCCAGTGTTCTCATGCTTGTAACAAGGAGAGTTAAAATTCCAAGCTATTGCTTTTGTTTGTGGATATTGTCTGTAGAGACTTAGAATATATATCGAATGGACAATATCAAATAAGAGGGATAATGTCAGCCCCAGTATTCTCTCAAAGTTGACATTACTCACATTATCGTTTACAATGAAAACTCACGTTACATATTATAATTTTTTTATGTAACAGTATTTAATTTCTTTTAGAAATATACATTTTATTATTTCGGTGTCCCCTAGCTATTTTAATGCCCCCTCCCATTATTTCCTATGATCCCTATTTTGGAGTAAACCCTGAAATTAAGGAGACCCAGTGGCAGGACCCAAAACTAATAATAATATATAATAGACTTTCTTAGCCAGCACTCAGTTGGCAGTGAAAGAAATTGGAGAACATTTCTGAGGAAAAATTGAATAAATTTTTTCACTCCTACTAATAAAAATTCCACATCCTCTTGAATGTATATACTATTAGACATAGTTTTTGAATGTAAGTTAACTTGCCAGTCCCCAAATTGCCTTTTGTAGGTGTAAATCGTTACTAAGTAATGTTTAGTTTTTGCAGTTGTATATACTTTTGAGATTCAATCTGAGAAGCTCTTTTGAAACTTTCTCAAAAGACCTCAAAGTTTGGAGAACTGTGTAGCATTTCTAGTCATTCTCCTTAAGTGAAGGAAACTGAGGTATTAGATAAAGATGATGCTTTGAGCAATATTGGTTACGAGTATAAAAAGCACTTTCTGATTTCAGATTTTAAGAAGTATCAGTGTTATGAGTGTAATTTTTGGATTTCAAGGTTTTAAAATGAATAGAAGATTGTGGAATTGATTTTTTTAAATTGCTACTGTATATTTTGCGTTGCAAAAATATTATTAACTTCTAACACTGTAGGACTGTTTCCTAACATATTTATATATTGTAATGAAGCCTTATATTCCTGAGCTGCTAAACTTCAAAATTAAATTTTGTTCTTCCTTGTTATTAAACATCTAAAAGGATCTTTCCCAAACACAGCAGCAGTTTTACCACAGCCCACCAGCAGTTGTTTTTAACTTCCGCTTCAAGATTTTTTAGCAGAGAGATACTGAGATCAAAACTCCTGTCCTGACAGAAAAAGATGATGTGAATGCTTGAAAATTCCTTGATAGATTTCACAGGCTTCATTTAAAAATATAGACACTTTTTTCCTACTAGAAACATTTAAAGCAATAAGGAAAAAAGTGTACTTCCTGGAAAGCTGAACTTTATTGTTTGTTACTCTCACATCTAACTAAAATTTCCATCTAGATTTCTCAAACTCCCAGAAATTTGAACCAAATCACTGAAAGCCTTCAGTTTTTAGTCTCATTGATTGAAAAGAAAAAAATGTAGCTACCTAAGAGGTCATAGCAGTGTAACAGATAGTCCAGATACATTTATCCGTCACCAGCTATCTTTCTTTCCTCCTTTCTATACAATTAAATGTTCTTACAGAGAATGGTCAAATCAAGTTTTTGATCTGGACTTTCTAGGACATACTGCAATGTTATTCATCCTCATGAGTAAACACATAATGCTTTATAACACAGTATGCTTGAAGATATGGATTTATGACGGAAGAATTTTTTTCATGTTAGGCTGTTGAAGCAAAACAAACTCTGAGCCAGTCTGGACAGTTTTCAAGCCCAGCCATCATAGCTGCACATTATCCTCAAAATCAGTATTAAGTAAAGTGGCTCTGTGGCTTGGACAACAACATATTTTAATGCTGTGTGGAAGCTCTGAGCATGAAAGTGAGTATATGGCTTTCACTTTATATGTGTTAACCTCCTTGGAGAGAAAGTGTAGCTGCTGGGCACTGCTCCAGTCATTTAATTAATGAAGTGGCCTTCCATCTGCTTCAGGTAAAGAGTGTTAATGCCTTGGTTGGCACAGGTGTGTGCAGTCTCAGCAAGCAACAAAAAATTCCAGCTATCTGACCCTTGATTATTTGCCTTTGAATAGCAATTGAAACACATCTCCTGTTAAACAGCCTTCTGTTCATTCTTCTTACCACAGCAATATGTTATTGAATAAACTAAAAGAATGAAATCACTTCATGAGTTAAAGATACTCAACATCAAACCATTCAGGAAATACTCGGAGTATTGCAGAATCAGGCCCCTAATTGCAAACTTATGTGCAGCGTTCTGATTCTCTGCTGCTACTGATCTCCCATGTCAGTGGCAAATATTTTTTTTTCTCAGTAATCAGCCTTTGTGACTCTAAATATCTGCTGGGGTGAATAAGACTCTTATAGTACATGGGCCAATGTTCTGTAATTGAATTTGAGGCATAATTTATATTATGAGGGTATGGCAGAAAATATTAATGTCTATCTTGTAAAATTCTATTGTTGTCTCAGTCAGGATCAATTAGGATCAAAAGATTAAAAAATCATTTTTATGCTACCCTGCAAAGTAATGAACCTGACAGCCTAGAGGTCTGCAGGTGACTTCTTGGGAATTACTAAACAGAAATCACGCTTTTTGATAGTTAGCACAACATTCTTTCCTTGATTAAATCTCTGGATAACATGCTTGCCAAATTGTTGGTACTAGAAGACAGTTTCTGAGAAGCATATGAAACTGAAGCAAATTGATTTGCAATGTACCTCTAGAATATCTACTCCAGAAATTAGAAATGCTGGGCGACTAAATAGTACAAATCTTAAAACAAACGACTCATGCATTATTATTCTTTTTGCTGTGGGAACGTAGAGGTTTGGTCAGCTATTACTACAGTATTTTCAACTTCACAAACACTTTTGCTCTAGGAACAGCCAGCAATGAAAATGTGACTTTGTTTTTTGCTTCCTTCAGAACTGTATTGGCCCTATCTTTTATAGAATATGATTTTTGGCATAAGTCTAGTGATCTGTACACTGAGGAGAGGAATGAGCAAAGGCTTTGTTCGTTCTCCATGCTATCCTGCTCCCATTTACCAACTACATAGAGTTCTTGTCTGAAAATGGGCAATATGATAGAGAACTAAAGCCTGGTGTACTGTGTCCAAAAGTGAAGAAGAAACAGAGTCTTCTCGTGGAATACCATATTGACTTCCACAGACCTGGGATTTACATACCTTTTAAGGCTTAATTAAGCAGCTGAAATCAACAGATAGCACTGTAGCAAATTGTACATATCGATAGTCCATGTATCTATATGATTCTACTCTAATATCTCCTAAATGCTACCAAATTTTTATTATACTCATTTCTTGCAAATTATCTTATTTTTAGCTATACTACATGAATTGTCCGTTATTACTTGCTACTTCAATGATTATCAGAATCTAGAATGTTTCTGTCAATAATCATGTTCTTATGAAATTATGCACATCAAATCCAAAGCAAATGGAACAAATTTCAGTAACATAAAACAAAAAAACCCTCCAGACTTACAAGAACATTACCATATAAAGGATGGTTAGAAAGAATTTCTGAAATAAAATTTAAAAAGTGTCAAAGCATTTTATGCTAACCAAAACATCCAGGCATAGCTCCCATCACTTAAGTACTGTTATTGTGAAGTTATTCTATAAGCAATATACATAATTTACATATATGGCAATACTAAACAACTACCGGGAAAGAAACTGACTTCTGAGTGAAAGTGGCTTTACATCTCTCATAAAAAATTTACTATCCCTTGGAAAAACAAAATATGAGAGGTACAAAATCTTCCAGCATGCAACATTGAAAAGTAAAATGCTCTGTCCAGGCAGATCTCAGTCTCTCCTGCATTTGCCTTATACACTATATAATCAGAATAATTCAGCTGTAAACTGTTAATGATAAGGGTTGTCTCTTTTTCTTTGGTTTTTCTTCCCAGGCCTTGCATGGTGTGCTCTTGATTCCTGTTGGAAGTCACACTGGATTATGTTAATGTAAATAACAGAAACTGAAGGATTCTGCCAATTACAAAGTATTATTTTAAAACTACATACACTTCCTATTTTTTCACTGTTTTGGCTCTTCTGTAAACATATAGTCAGAAATAAGTCCTAACAATATATAAATGTATATGTTCCAGATATACATTTTCTACCAGAAATCATGAAGCATTCCTAAAGACGGCAACTACGATGATGCAAATACGAACGCCACTTCAGTTCCTGTTACGTGTTATTGAAGCACTGATGGCTCTCCGTTTACCTCTTCATTACAAATCTCGCAGCAACCGACAAACAGCATGGCTGCAGGAGTGCTTTTAGCTATTTTGCCCCTAAAAAGTTCCCTGACATGATTCTTGAAGGATGCACCCAGAGAAATTCACATTGAAGTCTTTTACAGAGTATGAGATAGAAAATACTACATGAAAATTCTATCCTGGATCCTGAATCTTCTCTTTGACTCAGATTCTTCAAGCTCCTATTGGAAGCTGTTAGAAAGTCCAAAGTTTTAGGTTCTCTCTTTTGGGACTTCATGTTATGCTGATAAAGAAATTTTCATACACACAGAATAGAGCACAGCTTTTCTTCTGTTGCAGTGTATCTCATGCTACCTGTTTTGAGGAGTGGTACACTTGCAGTTGGTAGTGTTATATATTTTTATCATGTTATTGCATTATTAAATCTTTTTCTGATTATGCTGGTAAACCCAAGGAATTATTGTACAAATGGCAAAATAAGTAGTAGGAACAAAAGTGGTATGAAGCAATCATCCTGTTTTCATTCCAAAGTTCAAAGAACTGAAGCTGTCAAGGAATGAAAATATGGAGAATATATGATGTATAAAACTGCTTCTGAGCAGAATATTTTTCAGGAAGGTTTATCTGTTTTTTAAAATGATTGAGCAAGGGACAGCTGTAGATACTTAAGGGAAACACAAAAATATCTTTAAAACATAATTAAAAACATCATGTTATGACAATCTTTTCCTTAGAAAAAATAGAAAATATTTTAAAGGAACCTTCTAATTCATGAAGCAGATCCATCGTTTTTTTTCTTTGTAGCTATAAAAGTCTTTCAGTTCCTACTATTGAAAGTAAACACAGAGGGACTCATAACAGCTTTGACATCTGTTAGTTTTACCAGACAAAAAATATTTGTCTGGATTCTGCCTCTTTATTCTCTGAAATGTCTATCTATCCAAGTGAAATGCCTTCATTTAGCTATATGACATTTCAAATCAAACATTTTGTTTGGTCCCCTGGCAAGTAATATTTCAATTATTCTCCTGTTTATAGTGTCTGCTTAAAATGCATCTCTCTATAATAGAATCGTATAAAAATCTTTAATTTCAACTTGGGAACTCTGTACCTAAAAATGTTACCCTGACCACTCATATTCATTAAAATCACTTATCATCAAAGGCATAGAATAGCCCCTGTTTTTCATCCACAATCTTTGTAGTCACTGGTGAATCATCTGTAGGTGTCACTATGTATCACACCCAAGCTTTAGAATTTTTCAAAATGAGCCATTTCAAAAACATAATTGGAAGATGGGACAAGATAATATTGACAAGTACCTGCAGCTATTCTTTCAGGGATATCCCTCTGCCCTAAAAAACAGCTGGTATAACTTTTATATGGGGATCATGCTGTTACCCAGCTGTTTACGAGCTGTGGTCCAAAATAATCTCTGTTGTATCATCATAGAAGCCTATGTCTTGTAGTACTTTAGTGCCAGTAAGCCGCCCATTGGCATCAGTGACAAGCTGCCTGGGATAGAGGCTTCATGTTTATTCAACTTATATATAAGTCCATAAGTTATTCGAAATACATTTTCAGTTAAAAAGGTTGAATACATATTTTTGTCTGATAAGCCACTATTAGATCATTCTAATTATATTGCTGTATAATATGACTGTAATTTATACTGTTAGATCTTTTTCCAGTTGCCTATATCTACTTTGTTCTATAAGCACCCAAAAAGTCTCAATTTACATTTAGGATTTTCCAGAGCTTCTTTTCTTTGAAGAACTAGAGAAAAATAAAATTGAAAATTTTATTTAACCTATTTACTTATTCTTATGCAGAGATTAGCAAGTAAACATACATTTTTAAGTTCCACACTCATGCCTTGGTTCATAACAAAACAGGACAAAACAGCATCATTTGTCGAGATCAAATCTCGTATGAGCCCTGCTAGCCTTTCTGGCTAGGTATTAAATAAATATTGATAGTATTCTGCATTTTTGCAATGCCTTTCATCACGGAGACCGTAAAAAGACTGGATGAATAGACACAGCAAGCTCTTGAATTTAGTAACTGTTACTGAGAGCTTTGATAGTGCAGGGTGTGAATTCTGTTAGACTAGGATTAGCTCTTGCACCAAATGCATCTCTTTACAGGAAAATTCCAAAACACACAAAATGATGAAAGACAAACTTAAAGAATGGCTACATTTACTGAGAACCTTTTATGTGACTGACCAGGTTTAATATATTTTTTCCTAGATTGCATCCAGTGTCAGAGTAAGTGTACTTGAAACTAGGTACCTTATAACTGAGTTAAAACTCTTGATGCATTTAAGCTTTGTTTGTTATTGGCTATGTTAAGCTTACAGTCCAAAATAAAAACAAATCAGCTACATACAGTTTTTGAAAAAGCAGAGCCAGACTAAGAAGGGATGTCTGAAATAGGAACAGATTCAGCAGAACCAAAGAAAAGATCAGCATTTTCCTAAAGTCTAAGGACCTGCCAAGAGAACTAGTTGAGCTATGTGCACATCTGCATGGTACAGGTTCACCTAAATGCAGATCTGCACTGAAATTTTCCATTATGAATCTTGCCTGGTTTCCCCATATGTTAAAATGGACAGACCCTAACTGTGTACAAGCCTTTGTGGGAGAATCTAGAACATTTTAGAGCATAAATATTTTTATCTGAATATGATTTAAGTTCAGACAGCTGCATGTAGATGTTCCCTGGCTATTCCTGAGAGGGGAATAAAAATGAGAGGGATTCTTTATAAATTAGTAGTGTATACAGCTAATAAATTCCAAGCTACAGCAATAAAAGAAATAGCATATATTTTAGTAGTTATGAGCTGCGATATATGCATAAGAAAACTGTGTCCAGAGTGAAACAGCAAACAACTTTATTAGAGTTCCAAATCTCAGTGAGAGTTGACATATGGCCACAGAAACTGTTTTTGAGATAGGGATTATTGGAGAGGAGGTAGGAACTATCCTCTCCTCTTTTCAAGAAATTCCATGGATGTTTGATTTTCACTATTAAAAGTGAACTATAAGACCATAGCTTCTGTGATATCCTCAAGACTGACTTTGGCATAATTTAGAGCCTTTATTGTCTACAGTGCAGTTCTGCTGGGACTAGCAATGGCAGAAACCGTACTGAAAATACGGTGCAGAATTAGATGAGGTAATAGGCCTTAGCTTTGCAGGAGTATCTTCTTCCCTGTAACCCATGAACAAAACATATCTATTTATTTTCTGTTGTTACCCTTGCCTGACAGAGCAGAAACCTCCAGCTTAGCAGTGCAGGGCAATGCTAAATGGCACAAGACCTCATTTCCACCTTTGGGGTTAAGTCCATGTTTTGATCATCAGAGAAAAATTGCACCAATAAATCTGCAAGAATAGACACTTTTGAGGAAACTATTCTAATCTTTTTACTCTGTCTTCGAAATCTGATAGGGTGATCACAGACAAGTGCAAGGCCCATTTCCCGCTTTGCTTGGCCAACATATCTGTGACCTGGAAGAAGCACCTTTGAATAGATTTCAGTATTCCTTGTTCTCTCTGCTGAGGCTGCCAACAAGCCTACTAGTAATGCCAGTTGAGGAGACTACCTTTTTAGCATCTTTTGCTTGTCTGTACACACAAAAGTAATTGTGTATTGATTTTTGTTTACTTTGCTATGCCAAACTTGTAACTAGCCAAGTCATTGTAACAGAGCAGAAATGTCACCTTTTTGTATCAACTACAAGCAGTTGCTGCCTTAGGGAAACATCGCTTTCTGTTCATTCTGTTTTGTCCTAAACCACCTTAGGCTGGAAGGCTGCAATACGGGATGAAACTAAAGAACCTTGGTTTTCTGCTAAGAGAATATTTCCATGAATGAGTGAGACTTACAACATGCCCTCAAGGTCACTGTTTTGAAAGAGAATGTTTTAAAGGAAATGTGTGAGCAACTATGCTTACTACAGAAGAAAGGGCAGGGTATTTATTACTTCTTTATATTTCTTCTATAATGACATTAAAAAACATAATATTTTCAAATTGGACTTGAAGAATATTCTGGATTGGAAGATAATTTAATAGTATGCTTGGAAGAAACAGAAAGTTAAGAAATTTGGACCACTAAGCCAGCAAGACACAAACGAAGCAGTGCTAATAATAGCATTGGCAGTGCCCTGTTTGTGGATTTCATCAGGCTTAAGACCTTCTGAACATTTTTGAATTCAAAACTATATTTTTCAATTTGTGGTCTGATTACTTTAGCAGAGTTTATTTTGTGAAGCTGGCATTTTTATGCCTCTTTTAGACATGAAAAGTTTCACTTCCTAGAGTCTGGAAGTGGTATTATAGGGGAATGTAAAATTCCTATCGAGTGTTTTCAGCAGTGAAAGCATAAGCACTAATTTCTGAATTTTTGACTAATATTAAATACTCAACTTTACAGGAAATATTTCAAATATGTGAAAATATTTATTTCCCATCGACTATATGAAAAAATACTTTATGTCCTTTCCCTAACCTTTCCCTATTAATTGTCAATTCGTCCTGTGGTCACCTAAGGACAGGGATTGGCCATTTGTGAATTTTTGACAATAGTCTAACATATCGCAGTTCTCACCACAAAAAAATGATCTTCCATTGTATAGCATTCATACTGCTTCTTCATTTTTAAAACCTTATGCTAGTCTCATATTCAAATCATTCAATCTCTATAGAAGTAATCTAGATAATTTATCATTCCATTTTCTGTTATATAAACACACGCAAGTGTGTGTGCACAAACGTGTATTTCTGTCTATGCAAATACAAATGTAATTACTGTCTCTCCTTATGATAAATCTCAAATTGCATTATAAACTATAGATGCTCTCCTCTTCTGCTGAAATCACTGCTTCACTAGAATGTTTAATGATGTTTACAGAAGAAGGATAAGGCAGAGCAGACAGTTTTGAGAGCACCCAAGGATTATATATTACATACAGCAATGTTACATAATACATATTTTTTATACAGTATGTGAATGCATATGCACTCTGTATCTTCCCATGAGGTAAGTATGGTCAAAGTCAATCTCTTCCACCCAGCCAGTGTAATATTTGCTCAAATGTCATCACTATCACTTGGCAATACAATTAGTAGACACATTTGTGCAAGTTCTCTGAGATTCTACGTCCTTTAGGACAATATTATTTACAATCTATGGTTCGTGAACACTTATTTCCAATATAGTGTTTAATTCCTTTAGCATTCATACTTAATGCTTCTGTCAGAAATTGAGATCAATTCTATGCATGCTGGGGAGGCAAAATATTGAAAATGACATTTGTCCTTGTCCCTAAAAGGAGAATTTTGCCTCAACTGAAGAGCTTGTCAACCTCAGTGAAGGAGAATGGGTATGCTGAAATAGAGTAACTTGTACCTATAGCAGTTCTTTCATAGTCAGAATAGAACTAAAACTGAAAGCAATTGTATTTCTCGGAAGCTTTTCTCTGCATCCATCAACCAGGGACAGACTCATTCCCTGTAGGCAGCTTCCCCTGTTTTGTCTGCTTTATCCAGCCCTGTACTAAGTAGCTGTTCTTTGACCTTTTCCAGGTTACTTCTTGCAACCTGATTTGTGGATGGGGTAATTTTTCTCCAAGTCAATTCACTTGTACAAAGCT